ATGGGCCAACTCTCACATCCACATCCATACATGACTACTGGAAAAACCATAACTTTGAATATATGGACCTTTGTCAGCAAAGTGGTGTCTCTGCTTTTTAAAATGCTGTTGAGCTTTGTCATAGCTTTTCTTCCAAGGAGATGATTCTTCCAGAATGATTAGTGAGTACCAAAGGCACTTTCTTGGCCCAAGCCTGTAGCTCTTGAAGCTGTCCTTGAACAAATGCTGCGAGGTCCTTGGAACCAGTGCCTGTTTTTAGAAAGAGAGGGGGATGTCCCACCCTCCCCACCCCGGGTACCTTCTAGAGGCTGCTTCAGTCTAGCCATCTCATCTGGAAACTTCCACTGCCCTGGCCTGTTCCTGCTACCTTCTCTTTACTCCCCAAGCCCTCCAGACACTACTCCGTGGCCTCAAGTTTTCTCCCCTGTAATTACCCTAGCCCTTCAGCCTGGGTCTTTCTCATTCCTACCCCAACTCAGGGCATTCTCTGTTCCCTGTCCAGTTCATTCATCATCACCCCCTCACTCACAGCACTCCTTAGCTCAAGGCAAAAGCTGCACGTCCCTCGCTGCCCCCGCTCTTGTCACTCCGCTCCCTCAGGCTATATATAGCACAGCTGTGTCTTTAGATTGTGTACAGCCTCAAGTCCAAGTCCCCCTCCCCCAACCATTCCCTTCCCCCAGCACGATCAGGAGAACAAACCTGAAGCTTCCAGTTAGGGCAGGGAAGCACCTCCAACAGGGAGGACGGGGTTGCCAAGGGATGCGAGTGTGCTGAATTCAGGACCACCCAGAAGATGGCAAGCTTCCCATCTGTTATCAGGGACTTTCCATTTCTCCCCTAGCCTGCTACCCATCCCCCCCGCCCCCCACCTTGCTCATCCTGGAAGAAAGGGAGTAGGCAGCAGGGACGGGAATTCTAACAATCATATTATTTAACCCTCGAGTATATGCTCAGTCACTCAGTGGGGTCCAATCTCTGTCCGTGTGATTTTCCTTCTCCAGGGGATCTTCTGGACCCAGGGGTTGAACCCACTGGCTGGCAGATTCTTTACCACTGAGCAACCTGGAAAGCCCTATTTAACCCTTACATCGATCCTATGGGTAGATACTACCTCCATTTTACAGATGATGACGTAGACTCAAATGAGGTTGAGTGGTATAAGACCAGGTATTTAGAGAGCAGTCAGTTAAGCAGTTGACCCCATGTCTGACTCTGGCCTGTGCTCTGTGTCCATTAAGTCTGTCTGCATCATTCAATTAGACCCCTCTAAATTAGAATTTATATTAGTGTGACCTGATCTGGAAGAAAGAGGTTTATTAAGCGAATTACTAATGTAGAAAGGTTAAATCAAAGTAATTATTAAAGACTTGGCATATTAACAAAAACGGTATCATAATTTTATCTTATCTGTTTACTAAAACAGGACTCTACAGAAATCTGTTCTTTGAAGTTTTGGTTACTGTGTGTCCTCAGAGGTTTTTGAAATAAAAAGCAATTTTATTTCTTCTATTTCAAAACTTTCCCTCCACCTTTTAGGTGTTCTCTAGCTTTGATTTTAGAAATGGTTAGAAGTCTAATGCTTTTTGCTGTCACCTACTATGACCTTGAGCAAGATGTTTAACTCAAGCCTTGGTTTTTCATCTTTTTTGTTAATTAATTATTAATTTATATATTGACCTCGAGGCTTGTGGGATCTTAGTTGAGAGTCCTTTGGACAGCAAGGAGGTCATCTCAACAGCCGCTGCTGCTGCTAAGTCACTTCAGTCGTGTCCAACTCTGTGCGACCCCGTAGACAGCAGCCCACCAGGCTCCCCCATCCCTGGGATTCTCCAGGCAAGAACACTGGAGTGGGTTGCCATTTCCTTCTCAAATGCATGAAAGTGAAGTCGCTCAGTCATGTTCAACTGCTAGCGACCCCATGGACTGCAGCCTACCAGGCTCCTCCGTCCATGGGATTTTTCTAGGCAAGAGTTCTGGAGTGTCTTGCCATTGCCTTCTCTCATCTCAACAGGGAGAAGTTGAAATTCGCTCTCCTTAACTTGGCCCCTGTTCTCTAAAGTACTCGGGGTTGATCCTGATTCTTGCCCTGTCTCAGCCAGACATTTCCACTCTCCCACTTCTGGCCTAGACCATTGATCTCTGGAGAATTCAAGCCACCGTTGGGACCAGGAGAGGCAGCACAGGAGTGTGTGTGAATGCCTGGGAGGAGAGTTCCCAGGGACGCTGGGGATACGCGGAGGCCCCGGGGGAGCGACTGTGACCCTGGGCCTCTCCCTGGAGCAGTGAGGGCTGGGGAGAGAAGAGAGACCTCAGCTGCTGGACACATTTCCAGTGCTGAAAAGTCGCTTTAGGACAGAGAGTAATCTGGGGGAGAAACAATGGCCTGGGATGTAATGGGAGTCTGCAGTGCACCCGGTCTTTCTCCATTTCTTAGCAAGAAGGTTCTTTGGAGCCAGCCAGGCCCAGGTTCAAATCATGACATTCACCAGCTGTGTGTGTGCATGCTTAGTCGCTCAGTTATACCCGACTCTTTGTGACCCCATGAACTGTAGCCCACCAGGCTCCTCTGTCCATGGGATTATCCTGGCAAGAATACTGGAGCGGGTAGCCATTTCCTCCTCTGAGGGATCTTCCCGACCCGGATAGAACCCTAGTCTCCTGTGGCTTCTGCATTGGTGGAAGGATTTTTTACACCTGAGGCACTTGGGAAGCCCTCACTGTGTACCCTTGGATAACTCATTTAGCCTCTCAGAAGCTCAGTTCCTGGTCCAGGGACAAGCTGCTACTTACTGTGTAGAATGGTGGAACATTCTGAAATATGAATACATGAAACAGAATAGGTGCTAATGCTGGCCATGGTCCTCTCCGTAACCTAAGTATCAGCCTGCAGGCAGTAGAAAGTGTTCTGGAGATGTGAGGGAAGTCACAACTGTTTCAAACTCTTGGACAAATCTCCTGGGTCCAGAAGACATTTTTGGAGGGGTCAAGACCAACACCAGACAGCCTGTCTCCCACAATTAAGGCATTTTATTTACATCCCACATTGTTCTTAAGAGTAGTTTTTAAAAACATTTATTAATTTTTGGCTGTGCTGGGTCTTCACTGCCGCATGGGCTTTTCTCTGGTTGTGGCTCGTGAGTTTCTCATCGCGGTGTCTCCTCTTGTTGCAGAGCACAGGCCGGAGGGGACTCGGACTTCAGCAGTTGCAGCACATGGGTTCAGTAGTTATGATTCCCAGGTTCTGGAGCCCAGGCTCAGTAGTTGTGGCATGTGGGATCTTACTTGACCAGGGATTGAACCCTTGTCTCCTGCATTAGCAGGCGGATTCTATACCACTGAGCCACCAGGGAAGCTCTAAAATAACTATTTAGCTCTGCCAGGTCTAAGTTGGGCCATGCAGGATCTTCAATCTTTGTTGCAGCATTCGGAGTTTAGATCCCTGACCAGGGATTGAACCCTGGCCCCCTGCATTGGGAGTGTGCAGTTTTAGCCACCGGACCACTAGGGAAGTCCCCCTCTTAAGAGTATTTGAGGCCAAATAATTTGGGGGAAAACTCAGGATCTCTGCCCATTTTTTCCGGTATATTCCCATCTCAGTTCTCCAAATCAAGTCCACCTCTGATCCAGCAACGAACCTCCACAGGATTAAAAGACTGAATTGAGATAGGCGATCCCCTCCGTCTGATCTTTTATTACTTTACAGTGCTTGGAGTTTCACAAGGTGGCGCTAGTGGTAAAGAATCAGTCTGCCAAAGCAGGAAATCTGAGTCGAGGGTTCGATCCCTGGGGTTGTGAAGATCTCCTGGAGGAGGAAATGGCAGCCCACTCCAGTATTCATGCCTGGAAAATTCATGGACAGAGGAGCCTGGCAGGCTACAGTCGAAAAGAGTCAGACACGAGTGAGCATCTGAGCACAGTGCTTGGAGCTCCAGCCTGGAACTCAGCAGATGGGGGGTTAAGACTGATGTCCTGACCTATCTCCTCCCCTCTCCATTCCTGACTTCAAAGTCTCCTTAAAAGGGGACACTGTGTCCCTGACCCCATAGTGGCAGCTCCATCATCAGCTCTTGGCCAATTCAAAACAGCAGACGCTGAGCCTTAGCCGGACTGCTTGCACTCCACTTTCTAGCCATCTCCTAGGGTAAGCACTGTCATGCTATGGACCTGTGGGGCCAGTAGTCCTTGCTTCTCCAGGAGGAGAGAGGCAGCTAGGGATAAGTTGTCATCTCAAGCAGGGACTTTTGTCTTGGGGTTAGACTTAGAAGGCCCCCAGCAGGCAGAATCCCCGGTCTGGGACTCCATCTAGTTTGTGATGAGAGCAGACATTTATAGGGGTTTACAAGTAGAGCAGTAAGGGTCCCCAGGACAGGGAGGCAGGGGGTTGGCAACTGAAAAGAACCTGGCAAGAGATGGACCGGGAGACAGAGAATAGCTCAGGAACCAGAATTTGCTCCATTAACATTAATGTTCAAAATCTGCGTGAAACTATACACAAGTCCACGTCTAATCACTTCAATCTCCGGCTCTGGTGGTCTGGTCACCATTGCTGTAACACTGGGATGGCTCTGGCTGCCCAGGGCCAGGTTTTCCTCTGCACCTCACTTGGGAACAACCATCACAGACTTAACGCCCGTAGGGGGCCCAAGGTTAAAGGCCTGCTCCTCCCACCCTCATCTGAGGATTTTTTCAGCTGCTTTTCTTGGCCCAAGGATCATACCCGTAGGGACGCAGATGGTAGAGGAGGAGGCAGAGAAAACAGTGAAGCTGGAATGAGCTGGGGAGAGGCGGATGTTGAGAGGAAGAGATGGGAGAAAAAGCACTAGCGGTCCAGCCATCTGAGACAGGACAGCCATGTCAGGCATGGTGAGAGAGGTCTCAGCAGGCAACTTCCTCCTTCCCAGCCCAGACTGAGAACCGGAGTTATTGTGGCGGGTGCCTCCTTCTAGGACTGGGCTGAAGCCTAGAAGCCCCAGCTGCTAACATCTGGGTGCAGAATCATGTCTGCCAACAGAGGCTGGTGGGCGCCACCCGAAGGCGAGGACAGTGTGTCTGAGAAGCTCCTGAGGAAGACGAGGGAGTCTCCGCTGGTGCCTATAGGTGAGTGGGAAGCGAAGGAATGGGGGGCCGAGGAGGGGGCCTTCTCTTGGAGAGCACGTGTCTCCTGGTCCTTTCAAAGAATGAAGCCCTGAACTCGAGTGGTCCTGCCCACTGACTAATCAACAGCTAAAAGAGCAGTGGATCAAGAGCAAAGGTGACACATCTGACAATGAACAAGGCCGTCTGGGTGGGTGGAGGTGGCGGCCAACCAAGCACGTGGGATACTGACACCAGAGTCAGGACGGGCAGGAGCACTCTGGGGTCCCCTCGGGCTCCCTTGCCCCAAGGCCCTGGGAGGGGAAGAGAACAGCTATGGGGCTGGCAGTGGCTGGAGAAGAGCTCAGGGAGGTGGGACAGTCATGATGATGGGCTACTTGTACAGGGAGGTGGAGGCGGGCGAGGTGTTGGAAGGAGGCAGGCGCTTTGAAAAAATCACTGAGAACAGTTCAATGTTCTAAAGACAGCCCCTGCTCCACCAACCACTCCCCAGTCCCCTCAGGTGCCCCCCGCCCCAAAGCAGCAGCAGGAAGGCAGCTGGTTATCCAGGCGCCCAGTTGGCCGAGTGAGTGTCTCTCTTCAGGAGAGCGATGTGCTTGGTGACTGAGGCCCAAGCATCACAATTCTCTGCCTCCGCAGGTTTAGGAGGCTGCCTGCTGGTGGCAGCATACCGGATCTACCGGCTGAAGGCTCGTGGTTCCACCAAGATGTCCATTCACCTGATTCATACCCGAGTGGCGGCACAGGCCTGTGCGGTGGGCGCGATCATGTTGGGTGAGTAGCTGGTGGGGCTGGGGGACAGTGTGGGCAAAATCAGTGAGGCAAAATCTGGCCGTGAGCCCTGACAGTTACAGGACAAGAGTTCAGTCCCTGTTCCCTACACCACGCTCCACAGCAAGGCCTCGGTGAAGCCCTCAGAAGGAAACATTTTCTGGGTTTCCTGTTTATTCTCCCCTGCTCAGGGGAAGGTACATAGTCTGTTTCATGAGTCTTTCCTGAGGTGAGAGAACATGTAGCAGTTTCTCTTCCTCTCTGGATCAGAAGGCAGAGTGCTACTTCCCCGCCGTGTGACAGTGGCCAAGTCCCTTTCTCTCAGACTGTTTCCCCGTGTGCAACATAACAATAACCACCGCGGTCTGCCTCCCTCCCTCCCTGCAGTGAGGTTTCTCAGACAATACACGTGCAAGGGCTTTGTCAACTGTCACATGGCTTGTCTCCCCAGGCTGTGCAGCCAAGTGTTTGCAGCAGCTGTCGAGACCTGGGGCGGACAGATGAGCACGGAGGTGGACTCTCAAGGGAACAGATAGTGTCAGCATCGCCCCCCCCCAGACACCCGGGAGAGCCAGGCGATGGGTGGAAGGGGCGATGTCATGGGGTGCTTTCCCTTCTCCCTCACACAGGTGCTGTGTACACGATGTACCGAGACTACATCAAGAGAACCGCGCAGGATACCAGGGAGAAGTAGGAGTCCTGCAGGCCCGAGGCGGTTGGACCTCGTCAGTCAATCTGGGTATGCACCTAATAAAGGAGTCTGAGGCAACTCACTGGTCTCTTCTTCACACAGTGGACAGCAGAGCGAGGGAAGGCTCTGGTCCCCAGCTCCAGGGCAAGGAGAGCCTTCCGGGGCAGAGGAGACCTCTGACCCCAGAGACCCAACCACTCCCCAGCCCCCTAAGGGGCCACCCACAGGAGTGGAAGTGGGGGCGGTAAAGAGGCTCAGTGCTCATGGGAACACCAAGTGGAGAGGCAGGCGCTCCTCCCTGGGGACCAGGCAGGAAGAAGGCTGCAGCTGGGAGCAGAGACAGGGAGGCCTCGTGGGAGATGACAGAGACCCAGAACCCAAGTGCCAGGATGAGCCTGCGCTGAACGGAAGAGGGTGAAGCAGTGGGGATGAAAGGAACAGACCAAGGCAGAGGTCAGAATGTCCTGTTCACTTATAAAACACGTCTAAGGTCAAACTCCTACTAAAAAAAAGATTTCACGTAAATCCTGAAGACAGGGCCCCTCGGGCTTCAACACTTAAAGCCCCCTTCTCCTTCCAGGACCCTGTGTTCCTCTCTGTTCTCTGGCAATGGAGCCAGGCTGTGGCCATAGGAGGAACCAGGAGGCCCAATGTTCCTCCCTCTGGGCTGGTGGCTTGGGGGCTCCGGGCTTGTTGAGGATGGCCACAGCAGCCCTAGACATGCTCTGACCACATGGAGTCTGAGTCCCACCAGGGCCCAGGTTTAAGTCCAGGGTGTGGCCCGGAGCAGGAGCTGCCAGGCGGCCTGGCGCTCACATGGGGTAGTTGAGCACCACATCCTGCTTGGCGAGCTCCAGCAACATAGGATCATCGAAGAACTTGCTGATGCTCACATCCTCGCTGAGACCCTGCAGAGAGTGGGGGCAGAAGCAAAGATGAGTCCTGTGTGATTGTGCTGTGCTTGGTGGGGGGGGGCGGGGAGGATGTGTTGGCTGAGCTATTTTGGGAGTCCTGCTGTTAGGGTATCATCACAGGGCAGGAGAAGGCTCTCCCTTCCCAGGCATGCGGCCCCAGGCCTGGGTGCCTGAAGCCTGGGAAGACCACATCTCCCCACATTGTGCAGTAAAATGCTCTCAGTCTTTGGGAGGAGGGTCCAAAAGCAAGAAGCAAAGAGCGATTCAGCTCCTGGCAAGACCACCTGGGCGTGGAGGGACGGCCATGAGCCTGAGGACACGTACCTTCCTACGACGGGTTTTGATCATGAATTCTCGGGCCAGGTGGGGAGCTGGCTGTGGCTCCAAGGGGCGGATGACAATGCTCTTGTCCAGAGGGTCACCAGGTACAATCTGAAAGGCAAAGCGGTTTCAGAGCTGCCAGGCCGAGAAGCAAGATGCTTCTCTAGGATGCTGGTGATCCCCCTGGAGGCCTGGAGGTGGGCAGGTCAGAGGGGACGGCCTTGCAGAGGTGGGAGACCACAGTGGCCAACCTGCACCATCTTCTTACCTGCCAGTGGTGGAAGACAGACAAGGAAAAGGCCTGGCCCTGCGTGTGAGTTCGCAGATCAGTCTCAAAGCCGAAAGAGTCAATGGCTGGGATGAAAGCTTTGATGGTGTAGAGAGGAGAGCCTGGGATGGGTGCATCCTGAGTCACGTGTCCCCTGAGACAGAAAAATAAAGGCTGAATTCCTACCCCCGTGGAGGCCAAAAGCAGAGAAGCAATGTACCCCCAACTGTTGACCATCAGAGGAAAGAATAAGTGCCCCACAGAGGGCGGAAACAACTCGGGCTCTCCCCATAGCTCCCCGTTGAAGTCAAAGGGGCAGCCACCTGTGGGCAAGAGTGGAAGATTGACAGGACAAGGCCCTGCAGACCCTCCCACCACTGACTGACATCCCCCAGGAGCTCTCTGAGGAGGGGTCTGAGGAGAAACCTCAAACTATGATGTGTAGTAAGGCTGGGGATGCCTCATTCCTTTCCTGCTTCCTTCTGTAAACCTAGGCCTCAGGAGTGGAGGGTGTGGGGAAGCCAGTCCCTCTCAGTTCCTTCTCATTGGAACTCAGACTCGCCGCGCCCTTCCTCAGGTGCCTGGCGGCTCACCTGCGCCTGGCCAGGACTGTGTAGACAGCAGAGACACAATCTGCGGGGGCCTGGACCTCGACGAAGTAGTAGGGCTCCATCAGACGAGGGGTGGCCTGCAGCACAGCGGAAGACAGGGCTCCTCAGCTTGGGCAGGGATGGGGGACAGCAGTCTGAAGGCCCCCAGTCAGAACAGCCACCCTCGCTCACCATGAGAAAGGCCGAGTAGACGACTCTCCGGGCTGTGGGGATGATCTGGCCCCCGCCCCGGTGCAGGGGCTCCTGGGCAACCACTGCATCCAGGATCTTAAACTTGACATTCCGAATCACTGAAAAGGAAAAGGGGGAGCTGCCTAGGGAGTGGGTCTGGCGCTTGTCAAGGGTGTAGGGGCCGAGCAGCAAAGAGCCTCTTGTGGCACCGAAGCTGTTGTAGCCACAGGGATGTGGTACACAATCAGCCTGCAGGTGTGTATTCTAACAGTGTATATGGTGGTCAGAGTAGGCGGATGTTTGCAGTGTTGGTCTCAGGACACACTCAGACCACATAAAGTGTCTCGAGAAGTTTGTGTTTCTTTTCCAGATATTTGATTATTTTTGGGTGTAGAGTAAGTTTCAGGAATTGCACATTTGTCCCCACTATGTCCAGTCCTGTTCTATAAGCCACTCCAATCCCATCAAGCTGATATCCGTCCTCAAACACATTCCAGGAATGAAGAACAAATGTCCACCTAGACATGACTCCCATTTCTAGGATGTACCAAGCCGTGCCACCAGGGCAGGGAAGGAGACGAGAGGAAGCTGGCCCAGGACACGGGACGGCCTTGTGGGCCCCAAGTCGTGTCTCCTGCCAGGTCCCAAAGATGAGCCCACCCGGACTGATACACCCGGATACAAGGAGCCCAGAGGACAGGGCGGAGAAGGCAGAGGCGCTGGTCAACTTACACTCATCACAGAGGGGCCCCTCCCTGGTTCCCCACTGGAAACCTTGAACGATGCTGTCCTTCACTGAGCCGAGAAGAGCCTTGTCCACCTGCAGGGAACAGGAGGGCCCCTCAGCAGTGACCCGGGCCACAGCCAGTTTACCGGGAGGAGGAGGTCAGCACACTAGTAAAAGGATCCTTTTCTTCGCCAGAAGACACACAGTACTTCTGGGAAAAGAACGCTTTGGAGTTTCTTCCACTCCAGAGCTAATAAGCAAGGGCCGCAGGGGCCCCAGCAGTCCGGCCGTACCTCTGAGGGCAGGGTATCGTCCACCAGGATGTTGGGGCCGGTGGCATCGGGGCCGAACGCCCAGATGGAACGGGCAGCCAGCAGATCCCAGTCGTACTTGGTCTGAAAGAACTCTCCCAGCTTCTTCCTAGAGAGGGAGGGAGGGGAATGATGGTGTCAGACAGCCTGGGACTGCCAGTTCCCGGGCCACGGATCCTGCCTTTCTGGGCAACAGCGCCCTCAACTACCCACACTCTGCCTGGGACAACTGTGAAAAGGGGAGGCAAAATCACTCCCCAGAGAGGGGGATGTGTCATGTTAGAGGCTCATCAGGTAAGCTGTTTGGCTCTGGAATCAGAACCATGCTCTCACCTGTTCCATGTGATCTGGACCACCTCGTTCTCTATGTCTTCTGCGAGGCCCTTCTCAAGGGGCTCAGCGATCATGGTGATCTTGTTCCTGGTCAGAAAGGAAACAGGTAATGAGGAGGGTCAGCAGGACTAGCAGGAGGGTTGTCCCCAAGAAGAGGGTGACAGAGGAAGGAGTGAAGGCAGTGACATCAGGGAAAGCCATGGGGGCAGAGCAGAGCAGAAGAGGCTTGTCTTCTTTCACTTGAATCCATCACTTTTAAAAAAAAGTAAGGCTTGGGGAGAAATGTTCTATTTTAAAGCTTTAAGCAGTATTAGTATATTAACCAGTCAATCAGCAGAGTTGCTGTTAGGGGAGATTTTAAGATAGTCACATTACACAGAGAGGAGAAGTGGCCATTAAGACACTCACCCTGGGAGAAACTAAGGCAAATAATTCCACAGCATTGTGAACAAAAGCAAAAGGGATGTGAGGGCTGGGATAAAACTCAGGTACTTGAAGCACCCTCATCTCCAGACTCAGGGCCTCTATTTTCACAGTGCTTGTGGCTAGGGTGGGCTTAGGGGGAGGGGAGCGAACCTGGGAGTCCCAGGATCACTAGGACCCCCAGCGTTCTTCTTCTACTTTTATTTCTGGCCGTGCTGCGTGGCATCTAGGATCTTAGTTCCCCGACCAGGGATCGAACCTGCACACCCTGCCATGGAAGTGTGGAGTCCTAACCACGAGACCGCCAGGGAAGTCCCCCTGCAACTTACTTCTTGTTGGGAGTTTCAGCGAAACACTTGAGGGAGGACGTTTCCACCACCGTCTCACAAAACGTGACAACAGGGTCAGCCACCTGAGACACAACATACACTGTCAGGCAAGGTGTCACTTTCTTGGAAGGACAACCTTCTGCCAAAGGGGACTGCAAGGCTCCCCTCATACTATCTCTGTGAGAACCCGTCCTGATCAGAACTAGTGACAAGCACCGCAGCAGGCTCAGGCTAAAAGTCTGTACCTTTGAGGAGAAGCCTGGAAAATTGAGCGTAGTGCATAATTCATGTTCCTGAGCCAAGAGCAAGTGGAGGATCAAATAAGGGCCTTAGTTAAGAGTCCCTCAAAGCATCTTTCTACACCCGTATAGCTGTCCCACCAGCATTCACTGACACCTGTGGGTCTGTCATCACTGGCTCGAGAGACTGACTGGTGAGTGCCCATTCCATCTTCAATGACCCTGGGCAGCATGGCTCCTCCTGGAAGCGCCCACATGTCCCCCTATCAGGACACCTGGTGTCTTTCAGAGCACCAGTCTTGGCTAAGAGGGGGCACTTGAGGGCACTCACTTGCACCCCCCCACAGCCTTGGAGG